TTGACGTGTCTATCAGTTGATGCGTTTATCTATCCAAATTATGGGACAAATAAGTTAAGATAATTTGTACAGATAAGCAAAAATACTAGGACATATAGATTCCATTTATTAAGAAAGATATTATTTATGAAGGGTTTTCTCTATTTATTTTTGTTAAATTAATTTATATTTTTCATAAAACTGATTTTGAACTTGAAACCAGACAAATAGAGTTTCACTATCCAAATTATTGATCACTATTCCTTTTATTTTATTTTATTTATTTATGTTATATCTCTTGTATTTGTTGTGTGCAGTTATTGATTTAAATAAGTACACTTTTTAATTTATGTGCAAAAAAAGTAGGGATATCACTCAAATAAATTCACTTATCTAAATAAGTACACTTTTTTAAAAGATGACAAACAAACTCTTATATACATATAAATTGTTCTCCATTCATTCTATTTTTTGTATTTGTCTTTATTTGTTTATCCCCCTTATATTGTGTCCAATTATGATGTGCCATCTATATCTTATATATATATATATATATTATTACAATTTAATTTGTTAACGTTCTTTTTATTGTCGTCAATTGCATTTGTTCATCTTTTGACAAGAGGGATATTGGTTGTGTTTGAGATAATATTCTTGAAAATGAGTGAATCAAATTTAACAATGTTTATTAAACGAGTTATCTTTTTGTTGTTATATTGATTCTGTTGGAAAATAATGATTTTTGGATAATTTTAATTCGAAATTAAAGTGAGACCTAACCATCAGTTGATGTGGAGATTTGAGTTGTTTTGTATTCTCTTAAGTGAGAAGATTACAATACAAAAATAATGAGCCAAAACCAATGAGTTATGAATGAGAATTGTCTCATAAAGTGAGCATTAATAAAGTTTGACTTATATTTGGACTTAGTAGTAGTTTGGACTGGGCCTAGGCTTGTACTTGTGTATATGTTGGATTTGGTCTTGGACTTAAACTTAGACTTAATCTTAAGTTTGGGCTAAGCTATGCTATATTGGGCTTAACTTGTGCATGTGTTTGAGAATTATGCTTGGATCGGGTTATAACCCAATATTAGTATCCATTTTATGACCAATTTAGTTGATTTATTCAACCATCATTATATACATACTTAAACACATTTTGGTGGTGAGTCCCCCATTTTCACGATGAGTCACAAACGACACCCGTGATTAACTTTATTCTCCTCTCTCTCTCTCTCTCTCTCTCTAAAAACCTCCTTTCCTGGCCTCTTTTTGGGCCCGCCGGCCGTCGCCTTTGCCTATGGTGGTCGACTAGCCTAGCTCCTTCCGGGCTCTTTTTGGCCTAGCTCTTTCTGCCTATTAGTTTCATTCATTCAATAAACATGAGTCCCCCATTTTCCCCACCCAGGTGTTCGGCTTTGCTGCGGTAGAGTTTTTTGGTGGTGTGTCGGGGACCGTTACAGCTGATTCATCAGGGGTCGTCCAGGATTTTCATTCGAGCGCTCTCTTGCAAGTAGGAGCTTGAGGGGTGAACTCCGGTTCAGATTGGTGGGGTAGTTTTGTTGCTCTGTTTGGGCGAAAACATGGGTGTCGTTGGCGATCCAGTTCTGTCTGGTTTTCACTCGAGCGCTCCTCTTCGAGTGAGAGTTTGAGGGGTGAACTTCTTCCATTGTTTTGGAGGTGTCCCAGAGGACGGTCGGTGTTCGGTGGGTGTGTGGTTCCACGGGGTGAGTAAGGTGAAGAACTGCTGGTTTCAAAGTTATCCTTTTAGCCTCAGCCGAGGAAACGCTTTTGGTCGGTGAGGAGTACTGGAAATACTATCACCACCACTGGAGAGGAGTTCGGCATTGCAGCAAATGTTGGAGCTGCGCTGTCAAGTGTAGCAGGGGAGTTGCAACGGCAGGGTTGGTGTTTTCCGGTGTTGGCTTTGGTGTTGTTCTTGGTCGGAATAACAACATAGGTGTGTGTTTGAGTGTGGCAGCAGCATAGGCATGTGTGTGGGCAGATTAGCAGGGGATAGGTGAAGGCCTCGGAATAGCTGCATAGGTGAGGGCCTGGGGAGTTGTAGCTGAAGCATAGGCATGGTTGGTGTGGGCTGAGGTGAGGTGTAGCAGCGTAGGTGTGGGCTGCAGCAGAGGCGTGGTGTGTGCTTGGGGAGTTGTAGCAACATAGGTGTTAGGTGATTTTTGGGTTGATCAGTGGTGTTTGGTGGGTTGGTTTTGTGGGGATTTATGTATTTTAATTTTCTAGTTAAGTCCTTAACTTTTCTGCTTTAAACAAAAAAAATCGTGAGGCAAAGGGGTTGGTTATATGGGTGCGAGTAGCAGTAGTAGAGGTATTTTTATACTTTCCGAATCTCTCTCGCTGCATGTCATTTTCCTGTATCTTTAATTTCATATTGTTAATGAAATTTTTCTTTGCTGATCAAAAAATCATTATATACATACTTATTTGTATATTTTAAGCACATGGGAGGTTTAGACTTTTATAACTCTCATCTTTTGATGATGGAGTTGATGGTCATATTAGTGGTCATAGGTTTTCAACATTTGTAACTGTAACCCTAATGGCTAGAGTTGATGGCCTTGGTTAGTGGTATTGATGGCCCTATTAATGTATAGCCTTTATGGCTAGGGATTGCCATGCATACTTGTATAAATAGAGATCTTTTCTCTCCAACGTAGAAAAATAATTTTGGAGAGATTTTTTTTTTTCCACCAAAGAAAAATTTTCTATTATATTCTTTTGCAAGCCCCTTCTTTGGTTCTTGTTAGAGGGAGTGCAACTATTATCAAGTTTGCTGAAACTATTCAGAATGTGCTTCTGCATTAGTTGGTTTGAACCGTCATATCTTGAGAGACAAACGTTGACATATCTCCAGCATCCATCGAGAGACAGTGAATCTGTTTTAAGAAAATTGTGGTATATATCACACATGCTTCAGTTTGCTTCTTTTTTTTTTATTATTTGTTCTTTAATTTTTTAGAATTTAGTTTACTTCGACGAGTTCTAATATTTAGTTATTCATGTTAATAATTTGTTTTTTAGTAATGTAATCTAAATTACTTTTGTATTTAGTTGTGTCGTCTATTTTGTATTTCATCATTTAATAAAAAAAATTATTTTATCATTTCTATTTAATTTATTTTATATATTTTTCTTGTATTATTATGGAAAAATACCAAGAGATTCATCTTACGCTAATTTTTTTTAATTTTAGTTACACAATGGAACATGCTTTTTCGTTATGAAATTTGTCAAAGCTAAACTATGCAATATAACGAAAAATAATTTTTTAACTAGTTACTTGATCACATTTATTAAGAAATATATTATTTAAAATTTTGATGTAATATCAATACTTTTTATATCATAAAAAAAATAAAAATAAAATATTGATGATACCTTCATATGCCTTCATATAATAATTGTTATTGTTTTTACTATGATCAAAGAATTAAAAAATACAAGATATCTGTCTACCTCTTAACTATAAATACATAGAAATTAGCGCAACAAAATACAAGTGTAAAAATATTAAAATACGTTCCAAAGTTTGATTAGATCCTCTATCGAGTTATCAATAGTCAATATTTATCAGAATTCATATTACTTAACAAATTAATGACAATAATATTTACTTTTTGTATGAATAGAAATTGATATTATACTTTAATATTTTTCAACATTTTTTTTCATTAACAGTTACAAGTGCCTTGCTTTACCACATAGAGGAATAAGAAGGTTTTGGATAATGAACGTGATGTCCACGGCCAACGCATTAGGTGAAAGTGTATTGGGCAAGTTTAGCCATAGCACGTGCGTTTTAGTCTTTGACTCATCTTGTACATGATGACCTATTATCATGACTTCCATGATAAAAAAATTAACAGTCACGCTGTAGAGCTCTAAGCTCTAATGAGCTGTTCCCTTACTAGTGCAGTTCTAATGAGCTGTCCACCCATTAAAAAAAAAAAAAGTTAAGTAAAAGACAAAAAATAGAGAAGAAAAAGATAAATTAATACTATATTAGAGGTCTATTTTTAGAGGTCTAAATTATTTTTGAAAAATTAAACTAATAGTACATGTATTAAAAGTTTTATTAAAATTTTTACTAAATTTTTATATGAGTATAGGATTCACATCACGTAAGTTTTATATGTGTTTCATATTCATGTGAGACATTTGGTAAAAATTTTATAATCTCTAATATTTTTGAAAAAATTAAATAATTTATATATGTGGACACTCTAATTTATTATTTATATCAATTTAATTATGTGATTTTATTTTTAATGTTTAAATTTGGATTTATTTAGTTTAATGGATAACATTCGTTAAAAAAAATAACAAAAATAAATGACAAAATAGTTAATTCAAAAGAGAATGAGCCATTTAAATATAGATATCAATTTCTCAATCAGTTTAAAGTTGTAATTTAAATGCTTTCCTCCTTTAATTTCAATCTAATTTCTATAAGATATTATCAATTCAATTAACACAATATAAAAATTTCAAGGTAAAATTGGTTCACTTAGAATTAAAATAATAAATTGACACAGAAATAAACCAATGAGATTGCATGTATAAAAATAAAAAAGGGATAAATTACAAATACAACCCCTGAGATTTACTTAAAATATAGATTGCTCCATATAATTTAGAAAATTATAAATACCTCGTTGTTAGAATTTTTTATTTAACAAAATTAACTAAAAAATAAAATTCATAATTGTTCTCCTATATAATAATAAAATTACCTAAATTATTAATTAAAACATATTTTTAATATTATTAAATATTATTAATTGACTTGATAATTTATTAATAAAATGGACGATTTGATATAAAATTAGAAACCTCAAGGGGTAGAATGTAATTTATAAAATCACATGGGACAATTCATATTTTAATTAAACCTTAGAAGTATATTTGTAATTTACCAAAAACGATTGAAAAAAAAAAATTCTATAAAAGGAGAAGTTGAGGAAGACACTTCACTTTTTGGTAAATTACAAAAATAAGCAAGAAGCAAAAATGTTGTTCTTCCATCTCTTATCTTTCTACTTTCTTCCATTCCTCTTCATCATACCCTTCCTTTTCATGTTCTTCTCTCTTACAACTTATACTAAAAAACCCTACAAAAACCCACCACCTTCTCCACCAAAGCTCCCCATCTCCGGCAACCTCCACCTGCTCGGCTCCCTCCCTCAACATTCTCTCCGATCGCTATCCCAAAAGCATGGACCCCTCATGCTCCTTCACCTTGGCAATGTCCCAGTCCTTGTTGTCTCATCCTCTATCGCGGCTCGTGAGATCATGAAAACCCATGACCAAATCTTTTCTAGCAGACCTAAACCTAGCATTATTGGCAATCTCACCTATGGCTTCAAGGACATAGCGTTTAGTCCCTACGGCAAGTATTGGAGGCAAGTGAGAAGCATTTGTGTCATCCATCTTCTTAGTAACAAGATGGTTCAGTCTTTTCGCAATGTGAGGGAAGAAGAAACCGCCCTTATTTTTTTTTGATCAGCAGAAGAAACCGCCCTTATGATCGAGAAAATAAAACACTTTTCTTCTTCTTCGCCTTTTTCTTCATCAGTGAACTTGAGCGACATGTTTGTGAAGCTTACGAATGATATAGTGTGTAGGGTGGCGTTGGGGAGGAGGTATAGTGGAGGAGAGAGAAAAGATAGGAGGATTAAGAAGCTATTCACGGCACTTAGGGAGTTGACTGTGGTTTTTAATGTTGGGGATTATATACCATGGCTTGGCTGGTTGAATCGTTTCAATGGCTTGGACGGTAAAGTTAAGAAATATGTAAAAGAAATGGATGATTTTCTTGAGGAGGTATTGGAAGATCATATTGTTGATGGAAATAGAAGTGAAGGAAAGCAAGACTTTGTGGATATTTTGCTTGAAATTCAAAGAGAGAGCAAAGATGGATCTTCTCCTGTCAATAGAGATACCATTAAATGAAAGTAACATATTTTTATAATTACCCATCAAACGTTTCTCTCTCTCTCTCTAAACCTCCACCCCCGGGCCTCACTTTTGGCCGGCCGACCGCCGCCATTGGCTATGGCGATCGGCTGGCCCAACTCTCTTTCGTGTTTGTGTGCTGGTTTCTGTTTTCAATAAACTTGATTCCCACAATTTCTTCCCACTTTGGTGTCCTTTTTTTGTGTCTTCAGGGGGGCTTCGGCTTGTTTTTTTGTTGTTGTCTGTTTCTGTGTCCACCTTGGGGTTTAAGGGACAAAATAGAGTAGAAGGAGGTCGGGTTTGGACCGGTATAGAGGTTGGCCAGATCTGGATGGATCTTCATTCGGGCGCTCTTTTGTGAGTGGGAGTTTGAGGGATGAGCTTGGTTTCAGATCTATGGAGTTGCTTCGGTGCTTTGTTTGGAGGGAACAAGGGTGTTGTAGTTGATCTAGATCTGTCTAAGATTTCATTCGAGCGCTCCTTTTCGAGTAGGAGTTTGAGGGGTGAGTTTCATCCAGATGTATGGTTTTGTCTCGGCGGTTGTTCGATGTTTTGGGTTGTCAACACCGAGGCTATTGCATTGGGCGTGTTCAGAGTTTGGTGCCGGAAAGCTGTGCCTGATCATGGAAGTGGAGATGGCAGTGGGTCTTGTTGTCATAAGTGTTGATCGGCCTTGGGTGTATTCGAAGTGCTCGGAGTTTTGAATCAGTATAGAAGTTCAGACCGTGGAAGTGGGTTTAGGCTGCGTTCAGATGGGTGGCTATGAAGTTTTTCGGCTAGAGAAACTCCTCGGTAGGAGCAGAGAAGTGTGCAGCAGGTAGGTAATCAAGCTGGTAGCTATGGTGATCAAGCTGGTAGGAGCGTGCAGCAACAGGAGATTTGAAAAGCTTTAGCAGTAGTAGCAGGTGGCTATGGAGTGGGTGTAGCAGGTTTTCAGTGGGGGTAGCTATGGTGATCTAGCTATGGTGATCAAGCTGTGTTCATTGGATGTAGCAGGTTTTCCAGCCATGGAGATGTTGGCTATGGAGTCTTTCGGCCAGAGGAGCGTGTAGTAGATAGGTGAAAAGATGTTGCAGTAGGAGCAGGTGGGCGTTGGGCGTTGGAAGTTGTCAGGTGGGTGTTGGGAGTTGAAGCAGGTGAAAAGTTTAGATTCAAAAATTAGCTACTGGGCGGTAAACATTTAGTTTTATGAATAGCAAGCGGGAGTTAAAATAGCAGAGGCATAGTGATTAAAAATTTTCAGGAGCTGTAGCAATAGCATAGGCGTTCGGGAGTTGCAGCATTAGCAGAGGCATGGTGATTAAAATATTGGGTTGTTGATATTGATGATTTAAAATCATGAGGCTTGCAGTTTAGGTGATTAAAATATTGGGTTGATTTTGGGTTGATTAGAGGATTTGCAGGAGCTCTTTGGGGGGTTTGGTGGGTTGACTTTGTGGGGTTTCATGTATTTTATTTTCTAGTTAAGTCCTTCTTAACTTTTTATTTGAAATTCGAGAGGCCAAGGAGTTGGTTGTATGGATGCGAGTAGTAGTAGTAGGGGTATTTTTGTACTTCCGAATCTCTCTCGATGCATGTCATCTTCCTGTACCTTTAATTTCATACTGTTAATGAAATTTTTCTTTGCTGATCAAAAAAAATAGAGATACCATTAAAGCTGTCACCACGGTAAGAATATGACTTCTCTTTTCTCATTTAATGTTTATTCTTGTTCTTATTGCATGTTATCGAGTACAACAATGTTAGGTATTATAAAAAATCTTTCATGAAAATAATCATAAAAATTTTGTCATTCTTGGATTATACTTATAATAAAGCACCATATACTAATCAAGGTAATCCAAGGATCATAACTCTTTCATGATCATTTTTATGAAAAAATTTTCATGATCCCTAACTTTTCTCTAGTGAGTAATCCAATTTACTATTTACGTGGTATTTCAAATTAATTATAAAAATTTTATCAATAATATATGCTTATTCACTATTGTAAGTTTTTTTTATTTTATTTTATAGTTGGTGATTTTTATAAGGTAATCAGAAGTAACATGTACATAATATCATGTGATACTTTAAGAATATTTAATATTTTTTTATGATTTATGATTTTAAAGACAACAGTTATAAAAGTTATAAAATATAATTTATTACTAATTCATCTAAAATTTTAAATTATTAGAGATAAAAATATTTTTATTATTTATATTCTTAACATCTTATCAACTTCCATGTAGTGAGCACTACAAATACATGCAATGTTTTTTTAATAGTTTGATAGGTAGTGCAATTTAAACATAATATATTTCAATACCATGAATTGTTCATCATGAATTTCCTGAATTATCATTTCTTTATCTCAAAGATTTTACATTATTAACAAGCTTTCCAGTACTCCATTTGATTTAAAATTTTGAATTACAAAAGTCATTATTGTGATGGTGTTTAAACGGTAGGCATGTATCTAAAACAGGGAAATCTTAGGTTTCAGTTCTTATTGGTTGTCCCATGAATAGAAAATAAAAATAGAGCAAACTTTAATAATTTCAACGACTCAATGGACAAATGAATTCTAAACCAACGTATTTGGCCTAGTGATTATGTAGCACCTTTTGTAGTGTGAGGTCACGAATTTAACTTTTATGGAGAGAAGTTTGATATTTTTTTTTCACCTTTTGTTGACTTTTTCTAGCTATTGTGGAATAGTTGTCTATTTGATGACGTAAATATTTTTCATAATATAATTAATCTCTTATCGATTGACCAAAAAAAAAAAAAATTGCTAACCTATGGAGGTTGGGTCAATTTCAAGAGTTTTAAATAACAAATTTAATTTCATAATTTCCGCCATTTGTATTTTTAATTTTCTTTCAGGATATGTTTGGTGCTGGAACTGATACCGTATTCACAACCATGGAGTGGACAATGGCTGAGCTCTTAAGACATCCACAAATCATGAACAAATTACAGAATGAGGTGAGAGAAATAGCTAAAGGCAAACTAAGCATAACCGAGGATGATTTAGAGACAATGCACTACTTGAAAGCAGTAATCAAAGAATCTCTCAGGATGCATCCTCCGGCTCCATTTCTATTACCCCGAGAATCAATCCATGATGCCAAGGTAATGGGATACGACATTGCAGCCGGCACACAAGTGCTTGTGAATGCTTGGGCAATTGGAAGAGACCCATTGTTGTGGGAAGATCCAGAGGAGTTTCGACCAGAAAGGTTCTTGAATAGTTCAATAGATTTCAAAGGGCAAGACTTTGAGTTAATTCCATTTGGTGCTGGTCGAAGGGGTTGTCCTGGTACCCAGTTCGCCACGAACGTCATTGAGCTTGCATTGGCAAGTGTTGTTCACAAGTTTGATTTTTCATTACCGAATGGAGCGATTGGAGATGATTTGGACATGACTGAAGTTGATGGTATAACTGTCCATAAAAAAATTCCTCTAATTGTTGTTCCAACTCCCTACTCTTGTCAGTATCATTATTAATTGTTAGTATCATAATTAAAGTATGCTATATGTTTTGTTTATTTTTGGTCAGTCCTAGTTATATGTTAGATTCGTGGTTGTTAAATCAAACCAAATAAGTGCTTAGCCACATAGATATGAGTGTAATTTTGTGTTTGTGAGTTGTATTGGATAGACTGTTTGTTTCTAGTTTTAGGCAAATCAATTTTTAAAAATGTTGTCTCTTTTTTAATATATGTGATGATCATACAATTTTGTGTTACTTAAGGCTTCATTGCTGTTTCTTTATTTTATTTGTGTTTACTTGTTGAATTTATTTTATTTTTTATTTTTATTTATTATTTTATTTTTTTGTTTGTCTGCTTGTTAGAATGGATTTTAGAAACTAACTTTTAATGTTATATGAGAATTTTAGTGTAATGCAAACAAAGTTATAAAAGATTCTTTGGCTTCCTAGAACTAAAAATGTGTAATAACAAAATTCACATTCGATGAATTTGGTGACCTAAAAAATTTGGACCTGTTGACGATAACCTGAAATGAAATCATTGAAAATTTGCCAAAAATCAATGAGCATATTTCCAAAACTTCTTCTTCTTCTAAAAAAAATAAAAATAAATAATACTATCTGAAGCTTGTTATCTAATCTTAAAGCCTTGGGTGATGATGGCTCAACCGTAGTTTTGTCCATCGAAATCTTAATACAAAGTCAAAGTCAAAGTCATATTAATAATTTATTGATGGACATGCTTTCTTATTTTTCATAATTTAAAATCCCATAAATTTTAGGGAAATTTGGTAGAAAATTCAACATAGTGTTTTTGAAGGGAGGTCCACCGTTTGGTCTTTTTTTTTTTTTTTTCCAAAGGTGTATTTCATTGTTCGGTTATAAGAACAAATTAGTTAGCAAGTCCAAAATGTATTTTGTGCTAAAAAAATTTAAAATCTCATGACTTGTTTTACAAATATATTTTTAACAAAATTGATATCTATCGATTTTTCTTTTCGTAATCTTTCAAATAAGATCAATATTTAATATAATTTTTTTTAAAAAAAATAAATTGATTTTTTAGTTAATTGAAATAGTGAAACAACATTTTTTGATTTCCTGGAACCGCTTTCACTAATTTTCTTGAAAAAATATATGGAATAAAAAAAAAAATATCCAAAGTAGACCATCCCAAACTTATGACTTATTGAAGTTTTAACACCATAAACGATTTTAACAGATAGCTAATTTTTACTTCCTCTATATATCTATCTGTCCAACTTACTTGAACTTATCTGTTCAAATTATTTACCAATATTATAATGTATGTGTTCAAATTATTAAAAGCTATATGTCCCAATTAAATGCCATGTATGTACCTATTTGTTCAAATTATGTCTCAACATTTTTAATCTATCTGTTTAAATTATTTTAAACTATCTGTCCCTAAGTAAATGCCATGTGTATACCTATTTGTCCACATTATTTGAACCTATCTGTCCAAATTATCTAAATAATTTTAAGCTATCTGTGCAAATTATTTTAATCTATATGTCCAAATTATTTTTAACTAGATTATTAACATATTTTGAAAAATCTAAAAATCTCAAAATATTTGTTTTTGATTATGTATCAATTTTAACTAGTAAATAACAATCTCAATCAAACAATTAAAGACAAATCAACACAACTATTTAACGTGGAAAAACCATAATTGGAGTGTTTCTAATTGTGATAAAAAAACAACGGGCAAAAGTCACAAAACAATCCACTAAGAAGACAAAAGGAATTACACAAGTGTACTCTCAATTACTTAGCGAATCTATGCCCGAATCGAATCGACCCCTATATGCCTCTTCCACCATCGTCTTTATCTCATAATTGTCTTGGACAACGTTGAATCCACAACGCCGATGTTGAAGCCACTCCAAAATCCACCAAAGCTTCAGACCAAAATTCTACGGAATCCACTGAAGAACAAATCTCACTTTTGTGAATAAAACAAAACAAACAAACCCTTTGAAATAATCCACTTAATTCGTGATACAAACTCTCATAGATATCAAAGAAACAAGCAAAGAAGCTCTAGATGAAAACCCTAATACTCAAGTAGAAGATCTGGAAGCCGTACCCTAAAACTTGGCTGAACCGAATCTTTTATAGCAAACAGATCCGCGATTTCTGCTCGAGCGCAAGAATGGACGCTCGAGCGAAGTGACTAAAACGCGTGTGACTAAATAGGAACTACGCTCGAGCATAAGAATGGCCGCTAGAGGGGAAAAAAAACAACTTCCAATATTTTTGTAGGTGAGTGAAACTTCTAAAAGGTCGTGATCTCCGCTCGAGCGTAGGAATAGCTGCTCGAGCGCAAGAATAGCCGTTCGATCCCCGACAAAGTTAGGGAAATGGAAAAACTGAAAGAATTAACATCACAAACTTCTCTGCAAGGCATAGTTTGGGTTTGATTCACATCTAAAACTCATAGCCTCACTAAAATAAAAGATCAAATAAGATTACAACTAAAAGAAATTTTGTCAAACGAGATTGCCAATAACAAAATCCTAACATATTTGTCTAAATTATTTTAATCTATATGTCTTAAAATTTTTAACCTATCTGTCTAAATTGTCTAAATTATTTTAATCTATGTATCTGTCTAAATTGTCTAAATTATTTTGCTTTGAGTTTTAATGCCTCCTATGTTATTTTTTTCCACAAGGAAGAGCTGTTGCAAACCATTAAAAAGTTTGTATTAGATATATTGGACAAATAATTTGCAGGCGGATAAGAAAGCCAGTGTAATGAGAGTGTATGTCCGAATATTAGAATTGTATTTTGGGTTCATTCATATCTGTTGTTGTAGCAATGAAAAATCTATGCAGCAATTGCACAATGGACAGTTTTAGCTTTCTGTATTTTTTCTTGTAAACAGCACTTAACTCATAAACTCATGTTGTTTGTTCAGTGGTCTACTAAATTTCAGCCTTCTTATTACACTTTTTTTTTTATTTTATTTTATAATATTATTAATTTTAAAGATTGGAAGGCTATTGGAAGCAGTATGGAGGAAAAAATTGTTGATAAAAAAGAATACTGATATGTTGAAATTGTCAAAGTGACCCACAAATGAAAATGTGTAAAAAAAAGTATGTTCAAGGAGGAGGTGGTGTCGAGATATGTTCAATTTTGTGATTTTATTTGATTTTTCCTTCCAACCATAATCAAGCCGTCTACAATTGATTTCATGGAAGTTTATGTTTTCAAAAAATAAATGCTTGAAACTAGAATCAATAATTTTTGATGGATAGATCTCAAAAAAATACATGAAATAATTTTTTTTTAAAAAAATTAATCCAAAACAGACTACCAAGCATGCATAAAATTATGACTTGTTAAAGTATAATTGAACATATAGTTATTTGAAGGTATAAATAATTTGAACAGATTGTCATCTATAAAATGTATGTTCTTATTGTAATAAGTTAGGATAGAGACAAATAAGCTTGAAAAACATAAGTTAATTTATTCATTGAGTTCTCGCACATAAATAGGGGAGTACAACAAGGTTATAGCACTAAAATAAGAACAAACTAACAGCTAGCAGAAATCAAAGGAACTAACTCAACAACCACTTAGACACTGCTATAAACTAGGAAAATTGAAACAAACTCCTAAAGACTAGGACAATAAACAAACAATCTTTATTCAACCTAAACTCTAACACCCTCCCTTAAACTGAATGTTATGGAACTTTCAATTTAGAAAGACTAGTGTACGAGACCATCCCCTCCCTCAAACTAGATCTTCCATGGAACAAACACCAAGTAGCCTTCACAGCTTCGCAAACACGTCCAATTTGACTAGCTTTGTAAGAATATCCGCAACTTGATCCTCATTGCTGCAATAGAACAAATCAATAGTACTATCATTTGCATGTTCACGCAAAAAATGGTACCGCACATCACTATGTTTACTTTTTCCGTGCAAAACTGGATTTCTTGAAAGCTTAATTATTGAAGTGCTATTGCAATAGACCAGTGTGGGGCTGTCTTAACAAAAGCCCAAAGTGTCAAGAAGTCTCCTTAACCAAATTGCTTGAGAGGCACATGCCACAGTAGCGACGAATTCAACTTTAGTGGTTGATAAAGCGACGATTAGCTACTTCTTTGATGACCATGAAGCAACCCCTGAACCCAGCATAAAGACGTACCTTGAAGTGCTTGTTCTATCATCTTGATCTCTAGCATAATCACTATCAGTGAAGCCTCTCAAGCTTGATCTTTCTCCTTTCTTATAGAACAGCCCAAATTCCTTAGTACCTTGCAAGTATTGAAAGATTCTCTTGGCAACTAGAAGATGGAACTCAATAGGATTCTCTATATAGCTACTGATGAGACTCACAGCATGTATTATGTTTGGCCTTGTTGCTATCAAATACATTAAACTTCCTATAATTTGCTTGTAAAGTGTGCTATCAACCCTCTTTCCATCATGATCTTTAGTTAGCTTCAGACCAAACTTAGTTGGTGTGCTCACAAAATTGAAATTCTTCATCTGAAGCCTGTCTAACATTTCTCGCACATATTTCTATTGAGAAATAAAAATTCCAGCAGCAGATTACACCACTTCACTACCAAGAACATAATGCATCATTCCAAGATCAGACATTTCAAATTCAGCCATCATGGACTCCTTAAATTTCTCAAACATGGCACTATCATTTCCAGTATAAATCATATCGTCGACATTCAAGCAAGTGATGAGCATTTTTCATTCATCTCCCATTTTTAAAATAAGTGTATGTTCATAAGGACATTTCTGAAATCCTTCCTTCAAAAAATAAGCTTCTATACGACTATACGAAGCTCATGGAGCTTTCTTTAATCCATATAGAGCTTTCTTTAATTTATACAAGTTATGCTCATTCCCAAATTTCACATAACCAGGAGGTTTATCGACAAATACCTCTTCTTCCAAATCTCTATGTAAGAAGGCCGATTTTATGTCTGACTGGAAAATAGGCCATGAGTTTTGAGCTTCCAATGCAATCACCAATCTAATCCTATCATGCCTTGCCACAGGAGCAAATACTTCTTTGTAGTCGACACCGAACTGTTGCTTATAGCCTTTAGCTACTAAGCGTGGCTTGTATTTGTCAACTTCGCCATTCCCTTTCAACTTTGTCTTGTACACCCAATTGACACCAATGGTCTTTTGCCCCACTGGAAGCTCTGTTAATTCCCAAGTGTGGTTTCTTTCA